TCACCACCCTAAACATCTAAAGAATATATAATGTTGAGATGGAAAACCCTTAGTAACTGTTTTCTCAGCTTGCTTAATTTTGTTTTCTTTCTTCTGAGTCCATCTGGAAGCTTTCTTGGCCTGGAGGCAGACTGGAATAGTAGGTATGAATTTCAAGGTTACAGCTAAGCTTACTTGTCAACGGAAGGCAGTCAGCAGGCCAACCACAGTCTTAATCTTATTTCATGCATCCTTGCCCCGAGGCAGAACTTTTCATTCATAATTTAGAGGAATTTAATAGAGATTAAAACTGCAGGTATCTTAGAAATTTGAAAAGATGTCAGGGGATGAATAAAAACATCTGTTTTTGTGGAAATGAGTTGTGGTATTGGCCTGTTTTTGGCTGTTGGCTGTAAAGCTTTTCCAGGGCTTCACAGAATTGAGTGCTACCTAGGGTTCTTGTCGGCTGAGACAGTTGGTAGTCAGCTTTGCCTCTGTACAGATGTTACACACAAATTTTGGTGAGACTGTGAAAAGTAGACACACAAATAAACTGATACCTAGAGCAATGATATAAGTAAATAGGACAATGGTTGGGGGGGCGTACTTTTGCTCCCTTCAAGGGACATTAGTCAATGCCTGGACACCTTTTCATTGTAACAATTGTGGTTCGTAAAGACAGGGATGCTGCTAAACCTTTAACGTACAAAAATGTCAATAGGGATGCTATGGAGAATCCCTGATTTGATCGATTGATAGATAATACATATAAGACATGCGTGTATATATAAATCTTAGTTTGGTGGAATTTTTCTCAGAATGAAAATATTTAAGGAAACAACTTATTTCAGTTCCTAGGTCTGTCAGCATATATTCAATATGGTGGTTTTAGCCATGTCATACACATAAACCCTATTAAAGCCACAGGAGCCATGGCCAGGAAGCTCGCTCACCTCTTCCTCCGAGCTGTTCCTTGGGAAGCAGAGCTGTGCTAATTAGAGGCGTGCTTCAGACGGAGACTTGGGACACCGCCCACTGAAAGAGCCTCGGGATAATCGAGCATCCTTGATGCAGTCTCTTCTCTGTGACATTTTTCCCGTGCCCCTCTTGAGAGTGAAGTACTCCTAACCTTGTACGAAAGGTTCGTCTTTAATCTCTGCCCTCTCTAGCAACCATAGTCACCCTGAATATTCATATGAACTGAAAAGTGGGAAGACAGAAGGAGTAAGAGGTGGCATGGGTGTGGATTTGTGCCTAATAACAACTTTTGGTTATCTTTTGTTTCTATGACTGAATATTTCCCTGAAGTTTTGGAATACTTCTTATATTCTATTTTAGGCCTATTTCTAATGAAGTTAAGTAATCTTTTTAATACTTGGTTACAGGTATGAAAATAAAATGAGCTTTATTTGAATGATAATGTAAGAATTAACAACATGGTCTAGTGATGTGACTACAAGTTAATATAAGTTGAAGATTTTAAAATCGTTTTGAGGCAGACTTTTAGTCAAGATGGTAGCGTAGGCAGATATGACTCACGTCTTCACACAACCACATTAACAACTAAAATATAGAACAGCCATCACTCAGAACTGTCAGAAATCAAGTTGAATAGAAGTCTGACACCTACGGAATTAAAGAAACCACATCCATCCAGACTGGTACGAGAGGCACAGATGTGGAATGGGCTGGTCCCACACCCACGTGTGGTGGATAAAAATTCGGGAGGGATATCTTGGGAGCAAGGAATCCCAGCCCCACACCAGGACCCACGGCCCAGGGTTCCAGTGCCAGGAAGATAAGTCCCTACAACTTCTGGCTGCAAAAAATAGTGGGATTGAGTTGGTGGAAGAAACTGCTGAAGCCCCAAGTAGTTCCTCTTAAAGAATCCACACACTGAATCACCTACTCAGACTCACTTCCTCTCAGCTTCAGCACTGGGGTTGCAGCTTGAAAGGCACCAGTGGCATACTAGAAGAAACTGAAGTATCTGGTATCAAAGGGAGCAGAGGCCATTGTCCCTTTTCTAAACCCTCCCCCCACAGAGCCAGCAAGCTGGTGCCATATCTGAGACTCCCATCAACCTGGCTAACACTGTTTGACCCACCATGGAGGTCCCCAGAGACTTCGACCCCCTCCCTCACTTATGGGCCTGCCCAAGCTGCTTTTCCATATGAATGGCTGATCTTGGCTCATGCTTCATAACTTCCTAAATCCTTTCAAACAAGCAGCACCATGGCTACAGACCATGTCATAGCATCACCATTGTGCCCTGGCACAGCTGATCCTCCACAAATTATGGAGGTTGATGGTTCGAGGTCACAGCCAATCCTTGCCGCTGACTGGCCTGGGAAAATCCCTCCCATTGATCTGCCAACAGCAATGAAGGCTCAACTACAAGAGGAGGATGTATTCAGCCCACACTAAGGTCACACCTTGAGTACCCTACTTGGGTGATAGGGGAGGCTGTGCCACTGGACCCTATAGGACACCTACTACAATAGATCACACTACCATGACACAGAGTCAAAGCAGTTCTACTGAATACATAAAAACATACACAGGGAGGTTGTCAAAATGAAGAGACAAAGAAACATGGCCCAAATGAAAGAACAGATCAAAACTCCAGAAAAAGAGCTAAATGAAATGGAGCTAAGCAATCTATCAGATGCAGAGTTCAAAACACTCGTTATAAGGATGCTCAGGGAACTTAGTGAGGACCTCAACAGTATAAAAAAGACCCAATCAGAAACAAAGGATACACTAATTGAAATAAAAACAATTTACAGGGAAACAACAGTAGATTGGATGAAGCTGAGAATAAAATCAATGATTTGGAACACAAGGAAGCAAAAAACAACCATGCAGAACAACAAGAAGAAAAAAGTTTAAAAAGCTCCTGAGGATAGTGGAAGCAGCCCCTCATCCAACTTCAAGAGGTCCAAATTTGAGTCATAGGGGTGTTAGAAGGAGAAGAGAAAGTAAGAAATTAGAAGTCTATTTGAAAAAGTAATGAAAGAAAACTTCCCTAATTTGGTGAAGGAACTAGACATGCAAGTCCAGGAAGCACAGAGAATGTTAAAGAAGATGGACCCAAAGAGGTCCACTCCAAGACATCATAATTAAACTGCCAAAGGTTAAAGATAAAGAGAGAATCTTAAAAGCAGCAAGAGAAGTTAGTTACCTATAGGGGAGTTGCCATAAGACTGTCAGCTGATTTCTCAAAATAAACTTTGGGGGCTGACAAGGGATTGACAAGAAATAGTCAAAGTGAAGAAAATCAGGGACCTTACCCAGGTCAGGTCATTGCTTACCCAGCAAATTTATCATTTAGAATCAAAGGGCAGATAAAGAGTTTCCTAGACCAAAAAAGACTAAAGGACTTCATTGTCACCAAACCATTATTACATGAAATGTTAAAGGGACTTATTTAAGAAAAAGAAGATCAAAACTATGAACAATAAAGTGGCAAAAGATACAAATCTATCAACAATTGGATCTAAAAAACAAACTAAGCAAACAAGAACAGAGATGGAATCATGGATACAGAGAGCATTTTGATGGTTCCCAGATGGGAGGGGTGAGGGGGAATGGGTGAAGAGATGAGGGATTAAGCAGTACCAATAGGTAGTTACAGAATAGTCACGGGGATGTAAAGTCCAGTATAGGAGATGGAGTAGTCAGCTTACATGCATGACCTATGGACATGAACAATGGCGGGGGATTGTCTGAGGGGATGGGGGGTACTGGGGCAAAGGAGGAAAGTCAGGACAACTGTAATAGCATAATCAATAAAATATAATTAATTTTAAAAATTGTTTTGAAAACAAGCTTTTTAAGCTCAGATGTGTTACTGTCTTCCTAATTTGTGATGTTGTATAGGAGCAAGGTAACTTCTATCAAAAAGGGTGGTAATGAACTTCTGCTTCATAGTTGTACCCTTTAAGATAGATTTGACTTTATATAACCCAAAACAAACTCAAAATACCCATTGTCAACAGAACTCAAATGACTTAAACAAGCAAGAAGTGTATTACCCTCAAACGAAAGCAGCCCGTAAGTAGGCAGTACAGGGCTGGCATAACTGTTCCACAAACATGCATGCTGAGCCTCCCTCCTTGATATTCTGCCAGCCTTGGTGTGAGGTCTTTTCATCAAAGATGGATGCTTGAGCTGACACTCATTGATAAACTCTGACCTGGCCATTTGGCTGCCAACACAGATACAGACCTGACTCGGTGACATTCCTAGCCTGGGCATATAAATTATGTAGTAAAGGCAAAGTAGCTACTACCGTCCTGAGGTAGGCACCTCACAGGTGCAGCACACCACCTCTATCCAGCCCAGGTATTACCTGCCAAGTAGTAATATTCACTCAGCTTGCCCGGTGTGGGTCAGATGCAGTTCAGTACCAGGTAATTTGATGAGAAGCCCTAAGCCCACTTTTCCTGCCCAGAACCACATCCCTCAGAGCATGGCCTCTGCTGGGTCAGGTTTCCTGTTTTGCTATAAAACTTGTCCACTTAGTGTTTGGTCTTTGATCTTTTAGTGTTTTTCTCTTAAAGTCGTTACGTACACTTGCCAGCCAGCAAGAAGGGTGGGGGAGGGAAGAAGATCACCCTCTCTTTTAAGGACACGGCCCAGAAGTCACACAACACTTGCACTTACATCGCATTCGCTAGAATTTAGTCACATGGTCATTAGTTTCAAGGGAAATAGTGTTTTGGATGGGAGATAAAGGCCTCAGCAAAAAGAATTTGACTTCTTGTTACTAAAGAATGAGAGACACCTAGCAGACTTTGAAACAGGATTCAAAATGTCAACTTGTGAACGTATTAAAAATGACTATCTCACCTCATCAAGGCTCTCAGATGATAAAAACAAGGTGGTATTATTCTATGGCAATTAATTACTGGTTAGATGCTGTTTTTCCTTTCTCTTTTTTAGTATCTGTGGTTTTATTCTTCCCACGCCCTCATTTCCAAAAGCAAAAGTAATCAGTTTATCTTTTCTTCTCCTAGGACTTTCCATGACATTTCTGAAGATGTGAAATCTTCGGTAGACTGACACAGCTGCCGCTGCAGTGATTTCTCTAGGAGGTTCATCCTGGACTGTGAGTTCAGCTCAGCTATGGCCTTCTGTCCGTTCAGCTGTGCCTAGCACGCAGAGCCCAGGAGAAGGAGCAGAAGCCGCCTGGCCTTCCACACCGCAGGCACGGACAAGAGCGAACTGGCTGTGGGCTGCTTTGCCATTTTAAAGCACAGCGTTAGCGCTCCGAAATGTGGTTTGCACACCTCACCGTTGCTAAGATGGCTTGAAAAGTTTCCGTTTGTACACTGGTACCATGGCTTGAAATTTCCCCCCTTTGCTTGTCTATATTATGATTAGAATATGTATTTATAAAGTTATTTTTAAGAGCCCTTAAACTACCTGCTGTAACAGGGCATACAATGTAATTTTTCTCTTGTTTTAAGAAATCTGTTCATACACTTTTTGACGAGTCACTTTTCGATGAAAAGGGCTTTCACTTTTGAGTATGTAGTTACTTGAGCAGGAAAATGAGTCTTCCCACAGTGTACAGTCCTCTCTGAGGAAGGACTAATCTTAAGTGTTAGGGCGGAGTGGCTTATTTCAAGTTCAGTTAGTTTTATGTCGCAACCATGGGAGAGACAGACAGACTAAAGATTTTTATCCACTTCCTTTTTTCTCCATCCCCCATCACACCGTTGCCAAAATTCCAAAACTTGGCAGACCACATTGAAGTGAAATATGTATAAGCTGCTATTATTAATGGTAACAATATGATAGAATTCAAGTTGTGATTTTTTTCCTTTCAAAATGTCTTAAGTGAAAAATCTCAGGTGCAGCAGTACTTTGATTTGGTAATGTATCCGTTTCTTTATTTGGAATTCTGCCCCTTAGGTACTGATAGAGTAGGATTTGGTATTTATGTAGCATTTTTCCATCACTCAGCACAGTGCCTTGCACACAAGACTCTCTAGGTGACTTTTTAAGTATGTCAGTTATCACAATAACCAGCATAGTGCTTTACGTTTTGTAGAGTCTCTCTGAGTATAATTATTTCACAACAACATCACATAACCTTTCGTACAGCTTTATCTTGTTTTGTAACAGTTTCACACAGATGGGGAAGCCAAGGTTCAGAAAAGCGACCAACTCAAAGCCCTGAATTTAGTAAGATTTGAGCTCAACTCTCTGACTCCGTAAGCCCTCAAACTCTGCTATACTGTCGTGTTTCTCCTTAATCTCTTCAGTGTTTCCAGTGCAGTGAGATGGAATAGGTGTCCTTGGACTTGTCCTGCAGTTAACCACAGGGCCAGGACTAGGACCGAGCTCCCGGCCTTGGGCCCTTTCCGTTAAGTGAAAACAGTCCTTGGGCTCTTTCTCCGCCCCTGAGGGAATGTGGAGGAGAAATGGCTCTTTAGTGTCAGAGATCACGTTTTTTGCAAAACAAAAGTAGAAACTATTTTTTCTAAGACCCTTCTCACCAAGAAGCATTGTTAGTGATAATTAAGTTAAACTTATTCTGATGTTTCTTAAGAAAAACTCTGTCTAGAAGGGAGGCTACAATAAGGTCTTCGACTGTTCATACAGGAGAGTGCATGCAGGTCTCGTATTTTTACTATGAATCCTTCAGCAATTATAATTTGATATAACACCAGGTATTTCATTCGGCCACTGAATACCTCATTATTTTTTGCAGCCTGTTGTTTAATCATTCATTCAGCAAAACCTTTACTGGGAGTTTGCCAGACTCTAGGTTGCCTGCCAGATGCTGTGCAGGGTACTGTAGGGAATAACTCATGAGAAGGCCTTCTCTCACATCAAAGTGTAGCCAGATCATACATACTGCTAAAAAGAAAATTTTCTATTAAAGGAGTTAAAAAAGAAATCAGGTTTGTTTTTGTTAATTGCATAAAGGAAAGTTTATGGCTATAATCAGCACATATTTGTAAGAGGTAAGTATACACAATGAGTTAGGGTGCATATACAGATTATGTTCTTCCCAAGTGGTTTGAGCTGTACAAAGTGATGTTGCAAAAACTAAACCTGAGCTAATGTATGGCTGTAGCTTGTCATAATTATTTGTGTGAATATCAGGTATAGTGGGGAGAACTCTGTGCTCTGAGAGAATAGATTAGAGCTTCCCAAATGGGCAGTGATGTAATAACGTCACCCTGAACGTCAGGAACAGAGGTGGCCCACAGCGCTGCACTGTCCTGGTCAAGAAATGTGAAGTGGCCCAGCACTCCAGCAACTGGGAGGACTGGGAAGCTGGACAGCTAGCAGAGGGTTTCCTGGAACCCTCAGAAGCAGAAACATGCCCCCTCAGATGCGGAGAGGGGTTCTGCAGAATTTTAACAGGGCATGCTGACAAGTGGTATGAAAAGATAGGAATCTCAAGCTCAAGTCTCAAGGATGACCAACCCTCAGAGTCTCAGGCTTTGACCCAGAAAGGAGAAATTGCACCGATGAAGTAGAAGTAGCTTCAGTACAAACAGAGTACAGAACTCCTACCACAATGGCCTGCATTTTACTGCTGTATTCAAGATTAGTTCACATTGACTATTCAGTTGTGAACTGAGTGGAGGAGGAGATAAACGCTCTCCACACCAATGTGGCCCCCCCTCTCAGAGAGGGCAAGGCATGTGACATTCAGCATAAACTCTATGTCATATGAATCCTACTTCAGTTTCACAATTCTTACCACTCTCAGTGTTTCTGGAAGGGATCTCTGTCAGACTGCCTTAGATACCAGTCTTACTTATTTTTAAATTTGCAAGAATCCTACACTGTCTCCCATTAGAGGTGGTTAGCTGGCAGGGTGTTCCCTTGACTTCTGAGACTGGTGGAGGTTGACCCTGGACAGTGGAAGGATACCCAAGAATTGTTGTGGAGATGCTTTGTTTAAACAACGTCAGTAGCCCTTGAAAATAGCAGATGTTTATTCAGTTTAAAAAGGCTAGCTGCTCAAGGGCTTGCAGATAGGGCCCTCTGGCTAACCTTGGTGTTTTCAATGGGAACTCATCTGAACCCATCCTGACCGCTCAGGGCCTCCTAGTACTGCTAGTTCTCACTTTCATTGTGTTCAGTGCCTCAGGACGCGTCACTGCTGGGCAAGAAATGCTCGGAAGTTCAGGCCACGAGGGTTAGATTGGAGCAAAGTGATTTTAAGTGAGCTAGCCAGAGCTTTCACCCTCGGGTTTATAGCAAGTACCCCCCGCTCATACTCTGGTCCTGGTGTCTGGTCTCCTCTGAGCGTCTTCCAAGACCCACAGTAGAAATACTCTCTGACAGCAGACTTGCAAAGGCTAGTTCCAGCTAAGAACAGATACTTTTGTTTTTATTAATTACTCCCCTTTCCATGTTTGCCATCAAAATACATTCATTTTATTAACTGAGGACCTTACCAAAAAAAGTGCATACTGCCTGAAACCATAACTATTTTTGATAGACCTGATTTACAGTTCTCTTTTTTTTTTTTTAACTATTTGCTAGTGTCATAGACATTCTGTGCTAGAATGGGCCTGTATACTTCAGTGATTCTGTCATTTTCTAGAGAAGGAAACAAATCCATAGGTTCAGGTGGTTTTTGTAACACACACAAAGCCAGCTAGTAACAGAATTCACAGAATATACGTTCTTTTTTCTCTCACCCCATTGTTCTACTTCCCTTCCCTTTTCCTTGTAGTTGAGTGGCTTTTGGAAAAATGTGTTCCTTATAGCAGTAGTTCAAGGGTATGCTATTAGATGGTATAAGAAAATAAAAGTGTGTATGTGGGGAGGGACTCCATGGTTAATTAAAATTGAGGGATGCTTGGTTTGTGTTCTTTCTGTAGGACTTCTAAAGGGTTTGAATGTGCAATTATATAGTGTGAATTTATAACTGTTTCCTTAGACAGTTATAAAGGACTGTCTAAGGGACAAAGACTGTTTCCTTAGACTTGTTTGACCTTAAACTGCGCCCCCATCCTCCTTTCCTCAGAGCATCTCAACATACTGCTGGTCCCTTGGGAAACGTGGCTCTGCAGTAAATTTACAGCTCTTGTGGGAGATGACATCCATAATGGGAAGTCTGAATGGTAAATCTCTTTCCATGGTACCCTGTAATTGTAACGAACCTCAAAGTTCAGTGCGATACTAGAAAGCAGACTTACTTGCCCTTCAGAGCTATACCTAAAGTATAGTCTTTCCCCCTATGGTGTGTGAAATCAGTATTTGTGTTTAGTTTTGCAAGTTTTGCAAGGATCAATTAATGTGCAGGTACAGTGGTGATACATTGATACTGCGTTTTAATAACGCTTTTGTATGGTGCTTTTGGACTGCTTTTGTAACAGCCCTGTGAGACAGGCAGATGTTACGTATTATCAAATGAGGCACTGGCGGCTCAGAAGGGTTTCTGTGATTTTTCCCTTAAGTTTATACCACACAATAATGGAGCCAGAATTCAGTCAGGATTTCTGACTCCAAGTCCAGAATTATTCACACCTGGTTTCTCATTTCCCTTCTAGATTTATATTTTACAATGAAAGGTGTGGAAGCAATTCTTAAAATAGTACATTTTGGCTTATTATCAAATACCGTTTCTTTATTGTGGTGACTCAGAAAATGTAACTCCTTTTATAACTCTCCCAAAGAAAACTCTTCTTTTGTTCCTTGCACTGCCATTTGTGTAGGTGGCTGCCGTGTATTTCAAATACCATTTGATTTTTAAACCAAGATTGGACAATATGGTGTGATTGCTTAAGTAATTTTGGAAAATGTGTCATCTCTGCATTCTCAGGCGAAGTAGAGAGGGTTCGAAAGTAAAAAAGTATTCCATTACAACAACAGATCTTTATTCTCTCACAAATGCTGTTTCTTAGCTTTAACTTGCTTTGACAACCTACTGATGTAACTTCTTTGTAAATGTAAAATATTTATATTTTGAAATAAAATCAGTGTTGAATGAATCAGGTAGTAAACTTAGTCTTATTTCCGTTGAGAAATGTGATCTTTGGTGAAGTCAGACTTTCATAAATATATCCATCTGCCTCTTAGGTCTTATATCTTTTCCTTTGGCACCAGTGCCTCCACTGAATTTTTATGAAATATGGGCAACTTACATAACGGAAAATGTGTCCATGGAGTGGATACTGGGCACCTTAAAGAGGCGAAAGAAAGGGTCCAAGGCTGAGGTTGGAGCCCTCAGTACACAGGATAAGGTGGCCTTAAGGTGGGGAGGTAAGGAAATGGTGAGGTGGGGGTTGCTGGGGAGGAAGAGGTCAGAGGGTGGAAAAAATGTGTAAAGGAACAGCACATTCTGAATGAACAAAACAAACGTGAGTTGTGGCTGCTGTGTTCAACACCAGAGATATCAGTGCAGCACCAGCAGGTGATGCTGAAACCCACAGTGGAAGTACTGTGAAACGCCTTTCAGTGATGCTTGGGAAAGAGCTTGCTGACAACTCCAGTTGGTGGTGGTCAGCTTATCGACTGGACATCATGGGTGGACAAATGATTCCAGGCGAGACATAAGGATGGAAGCCAGCCACACAGTCTTTTCTATTCTGATGGTCTTTCGTTAGCAGATAAGCTAGTTCACAAAGTATTTCTTCATGCTTCTCAGTCTATTGCTTATGCCCAGACCCCTTCAGAGGGAGTGTGCTTCTGACAATCTCCTTTTGGCTTTGCTCCTGGAATCCTTAGGGTAAGAGGGTTCCCCTCTCCCATTGCAATCACATAGGGACTCTGCTTCTTAGCCTTACCCTTCAGTGAGTTTAATCTGAAATAAACACTAATGATCTTTTCAGTCAATGAACAGCTGTGAAGAAAGGTTCTGTGCTAGATACTAGGGGAAAAGTAATTTTGAAAATACTGAACAGTAGGCGAAGCTTTTCCATTTGCTCTATTTTACTTCCTTCTCAAGAGTAATTCGGAACAGTAGTTCAAAAGATACCCAAACCACTGCCTTCTCACCAAGCACCTAGATACTACCTAATTGCATAATCAAATAATCTTCAATTCAGCGCAAAGGATTTGTGAGAAAGTCCAAAAAGGAGCTGCGTGGAGGGGGAATGGACCTCGGAAGCACTATAACTGGCGGAATCCCCGTCGCACAGTAAAAGTCCCTCCTTATAGCCTTGACTCTAGTTCTGCTCCGTTAGTTTCAATCCCAGCGCATCTTCTGGAAATTGTCACTGAATGGGAGTTACGCTGAGTCATCTATCCGGGGGACAGGAAGCTTTGCTGGCGGCGGTTGCCCTTGTCGTGGTAAGAGGACACGTGGCCGTGGGAGGCCCTCGGGTGTGTCGTTTATTCCAGTGGGGCGAAACCTGCGAGGAACCCACCGAAGAGTGGTCTTGGAAGCGAGTCGGGGCGGGGCAGGAGGCGGGGCAGCGTGGGGGCGGGGCCGGGGTGGGGGCGGGGCTGTGGAGCGGACCCGGGACGAAAGCTCCCGGGAGCGAGGCAGGGGCGGGGCTCGGCGGCGGCGGCGGCGGAGCAGTCTGGGGGCCGGGCCGTCCCAGAGGCGGGCCCGCGGGGGGGCGGGGCCTCGGGCGGCGCGGGTGCAGTGCCGCAGCCGCGGGCGGGCGGTGGGCCCGCAGTGGCGCGGCGTCCCGGCTGTGCGACGGGCGGAGAGCCATGGCCGCCTCTCCGGGCCCCGCGGGCGTCGGCGGCGCCGGGGCAGTGCAAGGCTCAGGCCCGTCCGGCTTCACCTTCGACTCAGGACTTGAGATCAAAACTCGCTCGGTGGAGCAGACGCTGCTCCCGCTGGTTTCCCAGGTAAAGTGGCTCCCGGCGCGGCCCCTCGTCCCTGGCCGCGGCCGGTGATGGCGGCGGTGCTGGCGCTGCGGGGCCGGGCCGGAGGCAGCCGGTGCTTCACGTTCAGCACCCTCGCTACAAAGTGGGTGTCGGACCGCCTGTCTGGGCTCGGGGGCGCGCCTCGGCGGGGGCGGCGGGAGTCGGGACCCTCGGAAACCCCGAGGCGAGGCCGAGTGCGCCGAGCCGCAGGGGAGGCTGCGGGGCGCAGATTGCCGTGCGGACCCGAGTGCCCCGCCGGCAGGTGCGCGGCCCGGCCTGTCCCGCAGGACACGCTTCGGGGCTGCGGTGCAGGAGCTCCTGGCCCAGCGAGGCCCCCTGGGAGTGCGGCGGCCGAACCCCACTCCCGGGAGGCAGAGAGGACCCCGCGGGGGCCCTGCTGGCACATAGGGACCCTGGTCGCCACTCTCGAACGCCCCCGCCGGCTCACGTTTGCATCCCCAGTCCGAACCCGGACTGGTGGCCACTCTGGCTGGGGCATTCCTGCCCGCCCCCGAGTCCGGCGTGCTCTCCCCGAGGCCTTTGTCCCTTTCCCCTGCGTGCGCGCGTCTGGGTGTGTGTGTCGGCTCGCCCGGCTCCGGTTCAGCCCCGGGCCACCCTGCCCCTTCCCCCGACCTGCCCGCTCCCTCCCGTCCGCTTCTGTCCAGCCCGAGAGTGAGTCGGGACACACACCTCGTTGGCGAATCGCATTGGGGATGTGTGCTTTATTGCATTCGTCGGTCCTAACAGAAGTCTGGAATCAGCTCGCTGACGCGCGGAGTTTTAGAGTTTTTGTTACCGCGAGCCCGGTTAACGCAGCCCGAGGGCTCGAATTCCTCACCTCGCTGCGCGGTCCTGTGCCAAGTGCGGCGGAGAGGGAAGAATTCTGTGCCTTGGGAGCGCGTTGGCGTCGTGTGACTCACAACTAGATTGCAACGTCTTGGTGACTCACACTAGTATTGACAAAATTTTGAAGGTAAAAAAAATCTTAAAGATTATCTAACTCTAAAGAAGAAAAATCTTTCTTAAAGCATCCTCGACACCTGGTCGCCGATCCCTTGCTTACACGTATTCAGTGATGGGGAGCCCGGAGCTGGTCCATACATTTTTAATACTTGAAAACGCCTGTCACATATGTCCCTGGATTCCTGTCAGGCTGATTAAATGAACAGCTCCATTATCTTCACCTGTGTTCATTTTAGCCTGGGTAACAGAAGAGGGAATGAATACACCTGACAAGCCCCGTCCCCCACCCCTCCCATGTCTGAGAGGAGCACTGGCCCGTGGGAAGGATTGCTAGGATCAGTTGGGGGGGGGGTGTCTGCACGCACTGCCTCCCACCCCAGAAGAAGACCGCCACCACTAATACAGCCACCGCCCAAAATGGGAAATGCTGGAGTAGTTTTAAGAGGCACAGAGGTAAGAGAGTGGTGGAGTTCAAGTTGACAGTATTTTATTCACTCATTTAACAGTGACAGTGCTATACGACAGGCAGGCCATGTTCTAAGTGCCTTATAAATATTAACTCATTTAATTCTCATACCAATGCTGTGAGGTAGATAGATGTTGGTTTTCATTATATGGACGAGGAAGCCAAGAACTAGTGAGGTTAAGTAACTTGTAGTGGGACTGAACTACGAATGTCAGACTGGGATTTGAACCCAGGCAGCCCGGCTCTGGAGTATGTGCTCTAAGCTACCCCATATGCTGTGTCCTTTCTAGAAATTAGAAGCAGTGATGAGGTCAGCTAGTAGCGGGTACAGAGAAGAGAGTTAGGGAAAAACAAGGGAAAAACAAGCTGGAAGGTGGTTGTAATCTGCAGAAATGGTAACTTTTCCCAGTATCACTGCTAACAATGTATCACTCCTACAACTCTGCATTGTGTAACTCTGGGGTAAAGAGGGTGGCAAGAGTAGGAGAGTGGAGGAGGAATGCATGAATCGCTGCTGAGAGTTAACTAGAGGTCAATGCCAAAAGGGGAAATGCCACTTTTTATTCTTCCCTATTAAAGACTCATTCAGGCTCACAGCGGAGGTTCTGCATTCCACACATTATATATCCACATCAATATCTTTAGCACAGTACCATAACTGATGATCCTAATGACAGGCTGTACTTAGCAAGAGTTAAATTATGCATAAAAAATTTTAAAAGGTCTATAAAGCTTGGCCAGAATACTGTTAACAAAGCAGAAAAGTATGGTGTACAATTAAGAATGATTAAGTTTCAGTGAATGTTAGCAGATTAAAGTTGCAGCTCTCTAGAAAACCCATGTCCAGGAGTGTCCCTTTCTAAGGATGCTGCATTATTTTCCAACTCATACTTCATAATCTTACCCACAAGAACATTTTAAACATTTTAAGAAAGCATTTGTTGTGTGCTTACTAGTTGCTGCTCTTTGAAGGTCTTGTATTCTAGTTGGGAGACAGAGCAGGTACAGGATAGCACATGCCAAGTGTCAAATGAGCGTTTTTAGTAGTAAATGCTCCAAGAGCTCAGAGAAGTCACGATGAGTCAGGAATAGTGCCGCAGAGGAGACAGAGTCTTGAGGTGAACAAGAGAACTAGCATTCTACAGTTTGGCGAGTTTCTATCTGATACCATCTCACTTCCCTGACCCTCCATGTAAAAAGTTCTGGGTTTACCGGCCTTTACTCTAGAAATGCAACGTAGAGTCAATATTAGACACCTGTGTGCAATTGTCTGCATTCGCATATTAGAAAAGATATATTTTCTTTTCAATAGATGCAGAAAAAGGATTCAATTAAATTCAACTCCTGATCATGACAAAAAGCACTTAGCAAACGAGTAGCGGAAGAAAACTTCCTTAACCTAAAAAAGTGTATCTGTAGAAAACCTACAGTTAACATCATAACAGCAAATCAAAAAGAAACAAACATTAAAACGAACAATTTCTTTAAAACCAGAAACAACAGAAGCATGCCTGCTGTCACAGCTCTGATCGACGCTGTCCGCAAACTCCTAACCAGTGCAACCAGGCAAGGAGAAGTGACAGGTGTAAACATAGAATGAAAACTCCCATTGTGCCCTGGCTGATGTAGCTCAGTGGATTGAGTGCGGGCTGCGAACCAAAGCATCGCAGGTTCGATTCCCAGTCAGGGCACATGCCTGGGTTGCAGGCCATGGCCCCCAGCAACCGAACATTGATGTTTCTCTCTCTCTTTCTCCCTCCCTTCCCTCTCTAAAAATAAATAAATAAAGTCTTTAAAATTAAAAAAATAAATAAAAAAGAAAAGAAAAAAAGAAAACTCTCATTGTGATGTAATTATCTCCATGGAAAACTCAAGAGTTCATAAATAACTTATAAAAATTAGAAGGTTTAGCCCATTCACTGAATACAGGATACTAAAGTCAACTCCATTTCTTTACATTAGTAAAGCAGAAAAATAAATTCTAAAAATATATCAGAATAAAAAGGAGGTTCCTAGGAGTATATGTGCAGCAAAAGAGATGTCAAACTTCATGGAGAAAATTTTAAAATGTTATGGAAAGCCAAAGCAGGTCTAAATAAATGGGAGAAGAGCACTGTTCAGATGAATTGATATTGTAGGCACATCAGTTTTCCTTATTAGTTATATATCTAATACAATTCCACTGGAAATTTCAACAAGATTTTTACTTTTATTTTTTAAAATTTTTATTTATTTATTTTTTAGAGAGGGGAAGGGAAGGAGAAAGAGAGGGAGAGAGACATCAATGTGTGATTGCCACAACATGACAATGTGTGGTTGTCATGTGCCCTGACTGGGAATTGAACCTTCAGCCTTTTGGTTTGCAGGTCCACACTCAATCCATTGAGCTACACTAGCCAGGGCTTTCAACAAGATTTTTAAAGGTAGAATTTGATGAAGGGAACTCTAAAGTTTATATGAAAGAGTAAAGAGCCAAGAATACCCAGAAAAGAAGCAAGGTGGATGCATTTACTCTACCAGATTTCAAAACTTAGGAAGCTGTAGTAAATTAAAGCAATGTGGGTATAAGACTAGGATGGGCAAATAACACTAGTGAAACATCATAGAGAACCTAGAAACAGATCCACACACATATGGAAACTCAATAAATCACAGAGTTGGCACTGCTGGTCAGTGGGAAAAGGAAGACTTTTTTTTTTTTTTTTAACAGAATTGGGCTTGGGACAATTGGTTATCTAAATAAAAACACATGAGAGTGGATCCATACCCTTAAGAGAAACTGCTGCTTCTGTGTGTTAGAGACATGCATTAATTTTGATCATTTTTGTTTTTTTATTTCTGATGGCCCTAAACTGGAAACAATCCAAATGTCTTTTAACAGTAGGATGTTTAAATAAATTGTGGTATGTTTATACAGTGAGATACTATATGATGGTGAAATGAATGAACCACAGGTATAATTATCAATACGGATGAATCTCAAAAACATAGTGTTGAATGAAAAAAATTAAAGGCTCAACATGAAGCAAAATAAAACCATGTATCACTTAGGGATATAACTAATGTGCAGTAGTTGTAAGGGACGGATGAGCACAAAATCGGGACGGTGGTTTTTTTCTGGGGAGAGGGATGGTGGTGATATAGAGAGGGAGGGGCCCACCGCACTCACGGGCTGTCGCGGGCCCTGGCAGTGTTCTCTGACGCTTGGCAGTGGTTGCGTGCATGCATCTCCCTTTCATTTCTTTAAGCTGTATGTGTGTATGTTATATATACTCATTTGTTACATATTTTCTAACTTAGACTTTTTTTTTAAAGCTCTGGGCTAGGTCCCAAACATATTTTCTGTAGTACAACTCCCCACCTTTAATAATCACTTTATTCTTCCTGTCAAAACTCCCACTCCCAGTCTTAAAATGTTTTCATGCGAGGAAGGGAGGAGGGGGGGATCTGTCACACAGCTCCACCCTAGTGTGGAATGTTATTCTACCACCCACGAGTCTTTTCCTGTCTGTGAGAGATTTAGCTCATTCACCGATGGACAGACCCTTTACAT